TATACTTTTTATACGCGGCTAATATTTAAATTGCATTCTTCACTGAGAACGTTATCCCTGGAGTATCTGATTCCAGAGCATGGAGTCAGCGGAACCCAGGTCCAAACCCCGACTCTCACTTGCTAACTCCATGACTTGGGACAGCACAGGGCCTGGCCCAGAGAGTGTATTTCAGTAAATACTGTATGAGTGATGTATGAAGCTATTAAGTGTATGAGGTTTTGTTTCCTTATTTGTAACATAGGTACAGCATTAGGGTTGCTTAAAGTTACAGATAATTTACATAACTCTTGGCATCTAGTAAACATTGAGTTAGTACTAGATATAACAATAATACATTTTATACTAGAATCCTTTCATTAATATCAAGTGAGTCCCAGAAAATACAAGTTATCTCGGTTTATGCGGATGATGAGAGAAATATACCTACATGACTCGGTTGCTACTGATAGCTTTTCTAGCATTGGAATCAAGCAAATGTGAGACATACTGAAGGAGAGAATGAGGAAGATCAGTAGTGTGGGGAAGGGTTACGTAGGAGTGAGCTTGAATTGGAAATGAAAAAAAGACCACTTTCGATTGGTACCAAGACCATGGGAGATGCCGCAGGCTAAGTGTGGGGAAGGTGTGGTGTGAGTGTCCTGGGTGTAGGCAGATGCCTCAGTGGGAGCCGTGAAAGTTGAGGCAAGTTAGGCAAAGTAAGCCAATTTGCAGATCACCTTGCTAACTGAATTAACTTTTCATTTTGCTATTTCTGAGCCTTTAGTTCCTTGTTTGAATATAGAAACATTCTAGAGAAAGAGAACCATTAGATATAAAGTACTAGTTGGCATTGTTTTTACTTTGAGGTGGCCTACCTTGTTTGTTTGTTTGTTTCTTTGTTTGTTTTTAGCCAAAGGTCACGATTTGAACAGTTTGATCCTGGTTTTAGTAGATCACAGAGTATGAGGAAGGGCCCACTAATGGTTATGGACTTACCTCTTTGGCAACCAATGCTTAGGTGGATACATGGAAGCAAACCAGTTTTCATCTGAAGTAATCTGGCGATTGCAATTTAAGATCTGCTCCCCTTTTCTGAAACCATCTGAGCTTTTCCAGAGTATCCCTCTACCTTCCCCTAATATTTCTCTCCCTTGCCCTTGAATTCTGATTCTAAGCTAGCTGATGAGTTGTGGAGTCAGGGCTCAGATATCTCTCTCTTTATTAATTTGTGAGAAGAATTAAAGAAATATGCTGACACCATTTAATTCAAGGCTGCCCAGGATGGCACATAAGACATTTGAGACTATATATCACAGGGAAATAACAGCTCTTCATATGCCAAGGGTAAGGAGAGAGGAACTTGTCTTCTTTTTTGCTGTTGTTGTTAATAGAAGTGCTGTTGTTTTTCCAGTGAAATTTTTAGATAGAACATTCTTTGTTTCTCTGCATTCATTCCCCCCCCCCCCTTTTTTTATTGGAATGCCTGCATTAGTGCATCAGTTAGTGTATATGGCAAAATTGTTGGGATTAAATGCAATTTTCCCCCCCCCCCCCCTTTTTTTATTGGAATGCCTGCATTCGTGCATCAATTAGTGTGTATAGCAAAATTGTTGGGATTAAATGCAAGGTTACTGCATTGATTTCATGCTAGAAATATTGCTCTCTATTATACTTATCCTAATATATGTATACTTGATAGAAATTTCATATTTTGAAAGTGTTATCTCTTAGGAGTTTTCTGTTATTTAGCATGATCCCAAGACATAATTTTCTAAAGAAGGGAATGGCACATTATTTTAATACCTTTCATTTTTTCTGTTTCTAGCGTATTCTACTAAGCTCAACAAATTTCCTGTATTTAATATTAATGATGACTTGAATGATCTGTGTACCAGTGCAGTAAGCCCAAATACTACCAAAGCCACGCGGTATGCCCTGAATGTGTGGCGCTACTGGTGCATGACCAATGGGCTCAAAGATCACACGGACATCACCAAGGTAAGGAACTCTTGAATTTACTTCTTTCAGTCAACTTCACTGAGCTTCCACGTGCCAGGCACTGTGCTGAGCATGGTGGGGAGCACAGAACAGTTGCTTTCTGCCTGGAGAAACCTTGAAAGAACATAAAATAGAAAGAAACATGTCTATAGTACAAAGCAGAATTTAGTAAGTGTTCTATGAATTTATAGATCAGAAATGCCCCCCCCCAAATCAGTTAAATAAATTAATTTCAACATGGTGACACTAGCAAAAGCATTGATAGTTAAGCTGTATTAATGGTAGAGACGTAGAATTTCAATAGAATTGGATAAAGATAGATGTCTTCTGAGTAAGATTTGGAGGATTAGACTCACTTGCCTATAGCAGAGGCTTCATACATGGAAATGATGGGCTATAAAACTAGATTTTGATAACCCTAGCTATAATCTTGTGACTATTGGGAAATCACTGAAGTTTTGTTTTGCTTTTGTTTGAAAGGAGAGATTTTATTTGAAGGATTATTGCAGGGGCAGTGGGGAAGGGACTATTGTAATAGGGAGAATGCTCTTACCATAAGAGTCTTAAGTGTCAAGGTTTAGGCAAAAGGGAAACCATTGAAGGTTTTTGAGTGGGAAGAAACATAATGAAAGCGCTATTTTAGATAAATTAATTGGAAGTGATGAACAAAAATGTAGTTAATATCTTTGGTCCTCATTTGCTTTTCCCCACTGGTAAAATGAGTTCTGAAAATCTCTTCCAACTTGAAATGTTTGGGGTTTGTGACTGGAAGGAAAAATCCTTGGACAGGTAGAGACAGAAGACAAAGATGTTGTATTTTTATTTGGATCTATTGAGTATACATCAGACAGATGTCCAGATGTACATGTCCAATAAGCAGTTGGGAATCTGGGATTTCCAACATGGGGGAAATGTTAAATCTAGAAGGATAGATTTAAAGGTCTTGCAAATAGAGGTTATAATTGAAGTTCAAGGGCAGGTGACATCCCCAAGTTTGGGTGATGTAGGGCAGCGGTCGCCAACCGGTGGTCTGCGGGCCACTGGTGGTCCGTGAGGTCTGAAAGGTTGGCGGCCACTGATGTAGGGCACCAGCAAGAGATGAATAGGAAACCCAGGTTTCTGCTTCTGACAGCACAGTGCACCGGACATAGCAGGGGGCCTCCGTGCTGAACCTGCAGAGAAATAGGGCACCATCACAGGGCCAACAAAAAGGACAGCTGAGAGTGGAACAGTGAGCAGTAAGCACATCTGAAAGTCAGGGCTCTACCTGAGGGCATATGTTGACAAAATTATTAAGGAAGAGAAGAGACAGGTAGGTGAACTGAAGAATCCTTGATTGAAGAGAGGACCCTGAAAGGGGCTTGAGAAGTTCTAGGTGAGTAGCATACCCTGGCTCCTCACAGAGTTATGTGGTAATAATCTTTGAAGGGAAATGTTCCTTCAAAGTAGATGCTCAGGTTTTTTGCAGATTAAAACCAACTAAATATGTGCTCATTAAAAAAAAAATCACAAGCCACTCAAGGAAAACAAACAACAGATTTAGACATCCAGGATTTTAGATAATAGATTAAAGGCTAAGAATGGATGAAATGTTTATAGAAATGAAGAGAATTACAGTTGACCCTTGAACAACATTGGGGTTATGGGTGCCGACCCCTGCAGAATTGAAATCTGCATGTGTGGATTCCCAACTATGATCAAAAATAAATACTGCATAAAAATGTACAAGCAATAACAAACTAATCAAAATGAGCAGATTTGAAAATAAATTGAAATTTCCACTGCGGTCAGAAGGGAATGAAAAGATCTAGATTTATCCTCCTGCTGTAACAATTAGAAAACTGGGCCCAGTGTATGAAACAACCCTTTTCAGACGTGACAGGTAGCAGAGGATTGATCCCTAAGAGAAAGGTAACAAATGAGATGAGTGCTACCAGGTCTCAGGCTTTCTGCCTGGAGGCAGTTTCTGAGCTGCAATGAAGGGAGGGGAACCCAAGCAGAGCCTGGGAATAAATCTTGTTGAGTTGAGGGGAGACAGGGATCAGGGTCCAGGGAGGCCAAGGACATGAGGATACTAGAAAGAAGTCCCAACATCCATTGAAAAGTATGACAAACCCAGAATTCAACAATTTCTAGCATCCAATCAAATATTACCACTCATAGGAAGAAGTGGGAACATGTGACCCATGCCCAGGAGAGAAATCAGTTCTATCTTTCACTTCTGGCCAATTTGGAGAGCCAGATTTATCCTCTTGCCTGAAACAACCAAAATGCAGACATGGATTTTAGAGTTAGCAGACAAGGGCATTGAACAGTTATTATAAAGAAGATAAGCAAACGGCCAGGAAGCACATGAAAAGATGCTCAGCTTCATTAGACATCAGGGAGATAAATGCAAATCAAAAGCACATGAGATTCCACTTCACATCCAGTAGGAAGGAAGGACTGGAATTTTAAAAAGATGCGACAGAAGCTAACATGTGTTGATGAGGATGTAGAGAAACTGAATCCTTATACACTTCTGGTGGGAATGTAAAATAATGCAGCCTCTTTGGAAACAGTCTTGCAGTTCCCCAAAAGTTAAATATATAGTTACTCTGTCACCCAGCAATTCCACTCCTAGGCCAATACCCAAAATATGGAAAACATAGATTATACAAAAACTTGTACATAAATATTCATTATAGCATTATTTACAATAGCCAAAATGTAGAAACAACCCAAAAGTCAGATGAATGAATAAACAAAATGTGGCATATCCATACAATGGAATTTTATTTAGCAATAAAAAGAAATGAAATACTGATACATGCTACAATGTGGATGAACCTTGAAAACATTATGCTAAGTGAAATAAGCCAGACACAAAAGGACAGATATATATGATTCCATTTATGTAAGGCACCTGGAATAGGTAAGTTCATAGAGACAGGAAGTAGAATGGAGATTACCAGGGGCTGGAGGGAGGAGGAAAAGTGGGATTATTGTTTAATAAGTACAGTTTCTATTTGTAATGATAAAAAAAAGGTCTGGAAATGAATAGTGGTGACGGTTATACAACATTGTCAGTGTACTTAATGCCACTGAATTTTACACTTGTAAATGTTTAAGATTGAAAACATATACATAATACATATATATGTGTATTATGACAATTAAAAAAAATAAAAAAAATGTAACTTTCACCTTTAAATTCACCTGTTCTCAGAGACCCCCATTTTTGGTTCTTCATCCTCACTTACCTTAACCTTTTCTAGACCAGAGGTCAGTGAAGTGCTATGAAGACAGTTGTCTATTACTGGGACACTTTCTATTTCCATGCAGGAATCCATGAAAAGAGTTTCATTTCTCCATACCCTCCATGGCTTAGATAACATATGCATCCCAGGTGATGAAAATGTTCAGTAGAGTACACCTACCACCACTTCTTTAGGTACTAGTATTTCTTCGTTTCCCCTGTGTTATCTAGAATATGGGTGAAGAAGAAGATGTATTTCAATCCTCTGTAATCTACTCACATGGGTCACTGAAATATTTTTAATAATAAATGCTTAAGAAAGAGGTCAGTATCTTAGAGAATTTATCCAATAATTATTTACAAGAAAGAACTGAGGCATCTTGGCCCATATTCTTTAATCTCACTTTCTTGGTCTTAATGCAAGATATTTTTAGTCTAGATGTGTCTTTAAAGATAGATGTAACTAGCAGAAGACAAAGTAGGTAACACCTCTTGGTCATGATTTGGCAGCTGGTGAGCCTCAAATTTGTTTAAGAAACAAAGCAAGGAATCTAATGAGACTTCAAAATATCATCTATATAAGTAGAGTATACACTGTCATTCTCATTCTGTGATCATTCTTTGATCTTCTCTGAGTATTTAATTTAGTATTTTTTTAAAACAGGTGTGACCCAATCCTCATTGTTCCATCTCCCTCAAGGTTACTATGTCATTGATTTCTATATTCCTTAAACTCACTCAGAAAATAGAGCACCTTGAAGCTCAGTACCTATCTTTCTAAATAAAGTAAAATTTGGTAACTGCAAAAGCAAAATCATTTTGTTTACCATCAGAGTGATGTAGTTCATAGGCATTTCTCCACTTCATCCCCCTAGACAAGATTATCACAAAGGGAAGTTTGAGGCATTCTCCTAAAAGTAACTCTTGCTTTTTACTTGTCTTATAACTCTGTCAAGTTTCAAGGTTTGCTGTGTAGTTCCAGAATTTTGGAATTTGCCTAACATGTCAGTTTTTGTGTGTTTTTTTTCTTATTTTGTTCTTTACCATCTGAAGTCATCAGCCCCATGACTGAGCTCTTTTTGTTTTTAATTTTTACATCAAGGGAGCCAAATTTATAATCCAGGGTGAACTTTTGAGATGGTAAATCTATTCACAGTGGTTCTTGCAATGTCTTTATAACAAATTGAAGACCTTGGTAATCTGGCAGAATAATCCCCAACCAAAACTCAGTCCAAGAAAACTAAGGAGGCAGCCAACACAGGCCAGAATGAATGGTTTCTTGTGTGCCAATAATATAAATTTTGTGATTTGACATTTCTTCTTGCTTTTGCTGTGATTTTACTTTGAAACTTGTGGTATTCAAAGGACTTGTATGCATGCATATAAGCATAACCAATGGACACAGACACTAAAGGGTGAGGGCATGAGCGGGGGGTGGGGCAATGGGAGATAAGGACACATATGTAATCAATAAGAATTAAAAAAGAAAGAAACTTGTGGTATTCTGTGTAAGTCAGAAAAATGTTCTGATTGATAAGTCACCTTGGTTCTCCTGACTCCAAGGTTAATTCATTGATTTAACCCATGTCCATTGGGCATCAGTGATATAGTTCAGGCCTTCCAGTGTGTAATGAAGACCCAGTCATGTATAAGGTGCAGTGGACTTTCAGTCCACTTTGAGACATAGACATATAAATAGATAAAAGTTTGTGCAATATGGAGAGAGCCATAATAAAATTTAACTGCCATGGGATCCCAGGTGAGAGAGTAATTTTGCTTAGGGAAGCTGGAGAAGCCTTTATCTAGACAGCAGAATTTGAGCTAGATCTGAAATAATGCATTGAAATTTTCCCAAATAGAGAAAGTTAGTAGAAAATGCATTCTAGGCAGAGGAGGTAGCATGTGCAAAGAAATAGATGCAGGAAAGGGCGTTGTAGTTTCTATCAATGACGCAAAGTTCAGGGAGGCTAGGAATAGAACACAAAGAGAACAGATGAGGAGGCTGGAGAGATAGGGTGTGTACCAGCTACCTATCGCTGCATAACAAACCACCCCAAAACTTAGTGGTATAACACAACACTCATTTTACTTGCTCATGATTCTACAGGTTGTGCTCAGCTGGGTGGTTCTTCTACTGGGTTCAGTTGGGGTATACATGTGGGTGCAGTCATCTGATATTAGAAGACAGACAGCTTGTCTCCACTTCACATGTTCTCATGGTCTAACAGGGCTTTCTCACAAGGCAACATTGTACTAAGATGATGAAAGCAGAACTTGTAAGAGAACCTGTAAGACAAAAGCAGATGAAAGCGGAATCTCTTGAGGCCTAGGCTTAAAATTCACACATCGTCACATGTTACATTTTATTGACCAGAATAAGTCACAGCCAGCCCAGGTTCCAAGGGCGGGAAAATAGATTCTACCTCTTGATGGGAGGAACAGCAAAGTCACGTTGCCAAGGGGTATAGGAATAGGGAGGGGGCAAGTTATTGTGGCTATTTTTACAGATAATCTACCACAGAGTGGAGCCAGATTGTGAAGACTTGCAGATAAGGTAAACAGTTTGGAATTTATCCTAAGGGCAACAGGAAGCTATCAGAATTTGTTTTGTTAAGTGAGAAGGTAATAAATAAGATTTTCTGCTCAAACTTCTTACTTAGGAGCCATTTCTCTCTTATAATTCCCATGGTTATTGCAGAAGCCATCATGTTAGTACAGTGGCCCATTTTTTGGTCAGTTGTTTGGATCAAGAGTGGGCCAATCAGAAACCTTCCCTTGGGTTTTTTTCTTTTCTACTGATAATGAGAGTTGATCTCTTGCCAATACCTGAAGTCATCAGATGTAAACCCAGTACATTTTTCTTATCTGTGGAACAAATATTGATATCGAAACCCTGTGGATCATTGATCCAGAGACACTTGCAAACCTATCCTGATAAATTCAAGTGACAATTCAAGGATTATTAACTCGTCATATGAGTCATCTCTCCCTACAGCACCATGTTTAGGGCCAGCAGTACCAAATATTATGTGCAGATATCAAGGAAATTAATGTTGGAATGATTCAGAGTTTGACAAGTTTAGTTCAGCAATTCTTTAGAGAGGATGGTTGCATTTTTTAAAAACAATATTAACATGTTTCTTTTATTGTAAAAATGAATTATTAAATCTCCAGTGCATCTGTTAACAAGAAGTTTGTGGGGGTTTTAAATCTTTATTGTTGAAAGTATTACATGTGTCCTCTTTTTCTCCCATTGACCCCTTGTAGTCTGCCCCCACCCCAGGCCTCCATCCCTCTATTGTCTGTGTCCATGGGTTATGCATATACGCATACCGATTCTTTGGTTGATCTCTTCCCACCCACCCAGCATGGATGGTTGAATTTTATTGAAGGGGAGGGAAGGAAAGGATTTGCTAGAAAAGAGAAGAAAGGGCTTTCCAGAGAGGAATAGTGAAAGTTATAAAGGCCAATAGTAACGATATCATGTGTGTGTGTTCATTACTGTTTATAAACCCTTTCGAGTCCACTGCTTTAAGCATTGTAGTAATTCTTTGAGAAGGTGTTGATCATCATGTCCCATTTTACAGCTTGGAACACTGAGGTTTAAAGAGGTAAAGTGGAGCCAAGTATGGAACCTAGCTCTTTCAGCTTGAAGTTCACTGTTCTTTCCACTATGTCATGCATCAACTCTTTAGAGGTCTTGTCTACAGTACCGCCCCTGGTGAGGGGTAGGAGCAGGAAGGAGGGGTCTGGCTCTTTGGGTGTCCTCAAATGTGTAACCTCCGTGTTTGTCTCATTTGAGATCCCTGCAGTGAAGTTGAACGAGCTGCTTGAGAACTTTTACGTCACCGTTAAGAAGAGTGACGGCTCGGACTTCCTGGCCACCTCGCTCCATGCCATCCGCCGGGGCCTGGACCGCATCCTGAAGAATGCAGGTGTGGGCTTTTCCATCACCAGCAGCACCTTCAGTTCTTCCACCAAGAAACTCAAGGAGAAGCTGTGGGTCCTGAGTAAGGCAGGGATGTCAGGGGCCCGTTCTCGCAATATCATCTACTTCTCCCTCTCCGACGAGGAGGAGATGTGGCAGGCGGGGTGCCTAGGGGATGACAGCCCCATCACTCTCCTGTCCACTGTGGTCAAGTACAACAGCCAATACCTGAACATGCGGACACTGCAGGAGCATGCAGATCTGATGTACGGCGACATCGAGCTGCTCAAAGACCCACAAAACCAGCCCTATTTTGCCCGGACGGACAGTGTCAAGCGAGAGAGTCGGAGTGCTTCCACTCGCATATGTCACGGGAAAATCTACCACGAGCATTCCAGGGGGCACAAACAGTGTCCTTACTGCCTGCTCTACAAGTACATGTACATCCACCGGCCTCCCACCCAGATGGAGGCCAAGTCCCCTTTCTACCTTACCGCCAGGAAGGAGGCTGTCGACATGGGCAGCGTGTGGTATGAGGAGCAGAGGATGGGACTTCGGTCTCTTCGGGGAATTGTCCCAAACTTAGCCAAGAAGGTCAAGCTGGAAAACTGTGAGAACTTCACCTTCGTCTCATTTACTCAGGTCTCCAGGAGGCTTGGCTCCCACAGCTGCTGCCAGTGAGCCTGCCCTGGGTCCGGGCCACTGCCATGGGGCAGCCGGGGATGACCGTGACCTCATGGCCGGACTGGCCTCTGTCAGTGTGACCTGCTGTTTCTTTGACTTTGGATTTTTTTTTAACTGAAAGTAGATGATTCTGAATACTTAGGATGTTTCATCCAAATGTGTGTCACCTTTGTTAAATTATGGAATCTAATACAATGTGTAATTGCTACATACACAGGAGCAAGGACGTTCATTTTTTCTAGTGCCTTTTTAGCACAGATTTTCTAAAAAAAAGAAGAAGAAGAAAACTTTAGTGATTTTCCCCCAAAAAAATCCCAGTAGACTAGTAGCTTTAGAATGTTTTGAAAACTATATACGTTTTGTTGAATTACACTCACAAAAAGAACCAGAAAGAGAGGCAGACATTCACTATTTCCAGAAGAAAAATTGCACTTGACACTCCTCTTTATATTGTGTTGATGGATAACCGAGTTCTGCAGATTAAGCAGCCTTGCTTGGTGGAAGGTGGTGGAGACGCACTCGGCCTTGCTCTCAGCACTGGGAGGAGCTTCCCTCTGCATCGGCGAAGACAGTTTCGTGGGAAAAGATGAATGCGCCAGAAGCTGCTTGTGGGAGCAAGGTTTCCAGTAAACTAGACGGTGTGTACCATGAGGGCGTCGCCAGTAGTAAAAGAAGAGGCTTGGAAAAGCGATCTGGATCAAAATGTGAAAACCTCCTGAAGCAGAAGTGCCTATGTCCTATTTCTCAGCACCACGTGAAAGCTCTTTTCACTTGAATATTTTTTAGAGTTTTTTTTTTCTTTCCTTTAATCTGTTCTTTGTGTCACACCGTTGTTCTGTCAGCACGTAGCACTGGATCTGTAAAAGAGCTAAAGGTAATGTTGAGGCTGAGCCAGGAAAACCCAACCAAACGAGCTGCAAAGGGAACAGATTGAGAAATGTGTTGCGCTTTGATATATTTTGGTCAACGTATGACTTTTTCAGCCACAGTAGGTATCATCATTTTAGGTTGGCACCAGTGTTGGGGACATAGTGCTATAGGCAGCCGACCAGGTAAGCAAACCCAGCAGTAAGGACCTAGTTGTAAAAATCCAAGCATGATGATAGGTTTTTAGTTTAAAACCATTTCACTCAGGTAAAATCCAACCTGACCCCTTGTGATGGAAACATCAGCAGAATTTTCTACCAACTACTCCGGACGAGAAGTAGAAAAGGAGCCCAAAGAGTGCTAATTAATAATAATAATTTCCTGGGGTCTTTATTTTGTATCTGAGGTAAGACTGCTACAGCTTTGTACCATTGTATTCCTTGTGTATGCTTTCTAATTCAAAATTAAAATTCCGGTATAAGTTGGAAGAGCAGGAGTCCTAAAATCAGCCCTATTTCTTTTTCAAAATATTATTTTATTATTTATTTTAATTAATTGTTTTTAAAAAACATTCACTGGTCTCTGAAATATGTAATGCTTCCGTTCCCAGAGAAGACTCAACCAATGCTGCCTTACGGTTAACGTTGTTCCCTCTTTAGTTCCTGCACATTTGTAATGTTGTTAAAACTAGTTGCTCTTTCCTGAATATAGTTTCATTTTGGTATGTCTCCATCTGTATCTGAATAGCAGGTAACATTTAAAACTCAGTGTTATGACGTGGTAGTGCATACTGTTCTAGTATGGTTTCCTATAGTGATTTTAGGGTTTTGATTAAAAAGAGACACAAAGCATTAGGTACAGTTTCCTTTCGCTTGCTAAGCACCCAAAGGATATTTTGTTTGTGGAAAGCAGATGGTCATTTTTTTTTTCTTGTCAGTTCTGCACTTAAACAGAAATAGAACCCGTGTGAATTATTGGTCAGAGCCTGCAGCCTAATTAAATAAAACCTCCATTTGTATTTTAAATAGATTCAAGAAGAAATTGCCATTAGAATCCCTGGGATCTCGTCAGATTTGACATTCCCAGAAGTAGCAATAACTGATCCAGAGGTTGAAATCTTTCTGTTGACAGTGGCTTTTCATCAGCTGAATAACCATCTCTGCCTCACATTTGTTACTTATTACCCATTTGATGTCATGTAAATCCCCGAGTTCTGAAGTGAGTGATTATAGTAAAAAAAAAAAAAAATCAGGAGGTGGAATCGTCAGTGATAGCTGATGGAATGAAAGAACTGTCTGAGCATCTTGAATGCCGTTTATGTTATGATGTGCCTCCTTGGGGAGTAGGAGTGAGAAAGAAAACACATTTATCAAGTGCTGTTCTGTGCCACCCATTGTACCGGGTCCTTTGTCTACTTTGTAACTGTGTGGAGATGTGACTGTTTGTATGCACACACACACTTAGTAAACCTCCTAAAATGGTAAAGCACCTATCCATCTACATGGCTGTGCCCATCCTCGGAGGCCCTGAAGGGGTCAGGGTGGCTCGTTCTAAGGCAGTGGTTCTCTTTCCAGCCCGCTCTACACCATACCCACCGGGGACGCCATGATTTTCTGCTCTACCCCTGAGCCGGGAACAAGGGGAATCCCAAGAGAAGGAAGTGGGGGAAGTTAAGAGTGTCCCCCCACCCTCCTTGTCTTTAGTTCTTTTTGTTTGTATGTTTGTTGTTGCTCAAAAGTGGGAATGAATATCAGGAATTTGCAAGTTCACCTAGATACCAGTTGCCTCTGGCTCTGCGTCAGGGATGGTGGTGCTGTGGGTGTTACAAGAGACCGATGGAGTCCCCTGGGTGAGCTCTCGCCCTCAGCACCTCCGCATCTGCTCCAAAGTGAGCCCTGCTTACTCGGCACCTCCTCCCAGAATCCATCAGGTCTCCCCTGGGAAGTCTATTCTGCCAGAGATAATAGGGCGTCAGCTGGAAGGGTATGATTCAATGAAATAGAAAGCGTTTAGCACAGCACTAGGCACATGGTAAGCATGCAATAAATATTAGCTATTTTAGTTACAGCTTTTGGTAATAGTAATAACTATTATTATTATTCAACTGATCTGCATTGCGCTGCTTATTTCTTCCATTGTGGAGATTCTCTCCTTCAAACCGTTGAACTTGAAGAAGCAACCAGGCCTTATAGTCTGGTCACATTTATGCCCATCAGTTCTACCTCCAACACAGCCACGCCCTGATACCTCAGATAATGAGCAAAAATAAGTGAAGAATGGAGAAATGTTAAGAGGCTTTTTATAAGACAGATTTTCCATGTTTAGTGTGTTTGCAAAGTTAACCCAAGTTGTGAAAGAAGTAGTCTTGGTCATGTGGCATTTTCCCGCCTGGCTTGGATTATGCATAGGCTGTGTTCCTCTCCCTGGCTGATTAAATGGTGTTTGAAGAAACGTGGGACATTGTTACCTTGATTTTGATTTTGATTTTGATTCAGCCTTATTAAAAGCATCACGCACCATTCCACTCCCTCAGCGTGTTCTTAGGGAGGATCTGGACAAAATGATCCCCTCGGAGAAGCGGGAGCCTCTTGTAGTAGGAAGATGACTAGACTGGTAGCCCCTTCACTACTCACTGGGCGAGTGCTGGTCTCCCTCTCCTCGGCTCATTGGAGTGGATCATCCCCAAAGTGAATAATGTCACCCTTCTGCAGTTTTGCAAAACCGTATCAGTAGGTAGGGGCAAAACTAGGAAGCAAAATTCCTAATTCCTCAAGGTCATAGAGTGAATCTCTAAGTGAGTGCTTCTCACTAGACTGGAATGCTTTCTTTAGGAATAACAGTTTTCTTGAATTTTCATGTTTCACAATGTCTAAAATTATTTTGCTATCTTTAGGCAGCAGACTGTTGATTATTTTTCGGTTTAGGCTAACACTGACCACATGCTACTACTTAAATAAAGTAAACAATGTTTATTATGCTTTTCCAGCATGCATCACTGTGCTTTTATTGAAATCTGGATTGCTGAACAGTTTCGAGCTGGTAACCGGTTAACTTTAGGCATCAGTAAATGCAAAAATGAAGACCTCCAAGAAGAATTACCTCATTTTCTTTTTTAAAAAAAATATATTTTATTGATTTTTCACAGAGAGGAAGGGAGAGGGATAGAGAGCCAGAAACATCGATCAGCTGTCTCCTGCACACTCCCTACTGGGGAGGTGCCCGCAACCAAGGTACATGCCCTTGACCTGAATCGAACCCGGGAGCCTTGAGTCCGCAGGCTGACGCTCTATCTACTGAGCCAAACCGGTTAGAGCTACCTCATTTTCTTCATACGAGCTGCCATTTAGTCTAAGTTAAGGCCCATTCATATTTACAGCCCTAAACAGAAGAATACATTAAAAGTTTCAAAGGCAGCCCTAGCGGGTTTGGTTCAGTGGATAGAGTATCAGCCTGTGGACTCAAGGGTACATACCTTGGTTGTAGACTCCTCCCCAGCCCAGGCCCTGGTCAGGAGGCAACCGATCGATGTGTTTCTCTCACATTGATGTTTCTCTCTGTCTTTCCCTTTCTCTCCCACTCTGTCTAAAAAAGATCAATGGAAAATTATCCTTGGAGGAAAAGTAGCAAAACACACAAAAAAGTTTCAAATTCATATATGTCTTTAAATGCTTTTGCTTTCAGGGTGGATTTCTAATGCTCTATATTAAAAGAGAAACATTCACCTGTTTAGGCCGTGATCTTAGGTAAAAATCTTTGTTGTATTTTCCCGTATCGAATAACCACCTTAACAAAAACATGAGCAGAGGGAGAAGTTGGTGGTGTCCTGAGGCCAAGTTCCCTTTCTTAGGGGAGAGGAGGTTTTGGGATGATAAGCTAATTTATCTCTGGAGATTATATACTCTGTATTTATATATTCTGACATCACAGGATTTCCCACAATTCCTTTGAGGGAGGCTACCCATCCTTCTGGCAAAGTTTGCCTGTTACGATGATTTTGAGAACTTCTAGTTCTTACTGTTCAAGAAATCCAGAGAAATTCCACATGTTTAGCTGTTGATCAGAATCAGATTTTTATGCTCAATTAAAGTGCTTTATTATTTATCAAATGCGGCTCATATGGGAGTTAAGAATTTCAGGATATATTGATTAAAACCAAAAAAAGGGTCACTGGATTATGGGTCAGTGTATTAGTGCTTCCATTACTATTAATAGCAACTAGGTGGGTCCCTTTCCCCCACTGAGAAGAGAATGGGCTCCTAAGTATTTTAAGATCAGTAGAACTGATTGGATTCCTTTGTATTTAACTACAGTTAACATTGCCATTTGTTCAAAAGTTTCTAGAAGGTTCAGATTTGACCAACTCTATGCTCTCTTACAGCTGCCTCACATTCTCATTTAATTCTCACATCTGCTATGCAAGGTAGGTCTAATGATCCCCATTTTACTTATTGAGAAACCAAGGCTCAGAGAAGTTAAGTAAATTTCCCAAAGCGTCATAGGTTAATAAGCTGGAGAACTTAAGTTTGAACCCAGGTCTTCTGACTCCAAATCCAGTGCTGTGCTCAATTCACGAGACAAAACGCCTTCTTCAGGCCCACAGAAGTCCATGTATCACAGAGCTTTTAAAAAATTAAACACAATTTGTATTTGTTTGAGAAATATTTTATTAAGCCATACCATGTCACACCTTATATGTACTGTCTTACTAATCAATTGATCACATGTTACAATTCAGTAGTTCCTGGAAAGCATTATGAAGGAGAATAACATTTCCTACCTACTGAGAACCTTGTCTTTATCCAATAGATACTTCTTTATCCTTTATCTACATAGAAGTGCAGGTGGTTATGCCAATTTATTCTAAGAAAAGTCACATAATTTACAAACCACTTGTTTTGACCCTGGTATCACTGCTTAGGTGTAAAGGTCTTCCTAACCTATGTCACAATTATATGCTCAGGTTTCTTCTTTTTAATATTGGTGTCAGAGGATTTTTATAATCTTTGAGATTAAGGCACCCTCATAGCAGAATACATATTTAGTCATTTGGTTTTTATTTTTACCTTTATCAGGACATGTAGAATATAGGTAACTCTGAGATTGTGTAGTCAAATTCCCTCATTTTACCAGGAAAGAAATGAAAGCCCAGAGGTATTTAAGGGCCCATCCAAGGTCAGCAAGACAATAAGTGGTAGAATGAGAACTAGAAAATCAATCCAGAACTCTCTTCCTTTATACCATAGCTGGGAAGATTTGGATTTTTTAAAATTCAAACTATAAGAGAAAGTTTATTGGAGAAAGTCACAGAGGTAGAAGTGAGCTGTAGAAGAAGTGGGCTCAGGAAACAAGTTACAGAGGCAAAAAGAGGGGCCCTTATTACTTAGGAGAAAGGCGCCTGGGAGTAGGGGTTCAGATATGCTCCATAGAGAGAACCGCCAAGATTTGGATTTTTTTAAAGTTAATGAAAGGAACTGCATCTGTCAGAAGGACATCAGGCTATTAGAGCCCCCAGTGAGCTTCTGCCTTCCCAGAAAATCACTCATCAAGACCCAGGGGGAGGCCAAATCTCAATTCTGGAATCTGGAAGCACAGATTCTCTATCCTCCCCACCCCACCTCCTCTTCATTCAGTCCAAGACTCCGCATCTTAGAGCTGAAATATGAGCAGAAGGCAGTGAGGACCTGTTAGAGGTGTAGTGCATTCTCAGATAAACGCCCTGTAGGTGAGAGCAGAAACGATAGGTAGCAAAACATGCAAATATTGTGATTTCTTCATGTATGCTGTTGGATCAAAGAGGCAGAAAGCCTGGTGATCAGAAGGAAAAGGATGCCACTTGAATAGTCAAGTGCTGAACTAGGAACCGGACTTGGGAATCTGCACATGACCTTACCATAAGCCTCTGTATTAGAAAACAGGGTTTGACAAACACTCAAGTGGACAGATGGTGTAACCAAGAAACACTGGGTCTGGGAAGAAAGGACCACATTTAAAGATGAATATAGAGAAAAAAGGCAAAATGCGTATTTTAAAAAATGTGACTGAAACAAGGGAAATGAACAGCTTTCAGAACATTTGAAAATGAAAGTGGTCTGCTGCAAGAAACGAACATGTTAGATTTCTTTTTTACCATAATTGAAAGAACAGAAGAATTGCTTCAGTGCAGCAATAGTTCTTTTGAAATGGGAGTGGGTTCAGAGAAAAAGGCAATAAAATAACATGAAAAAGAAAATTGATTAGAAAGGATTGTAAGGAAGCTAAAAACATTAAAATCTACATTGGAAGCAGAAAATAATACTGGTGCTTAAAGAAAACACACAAAACTCAATACTATGAAGGACAAACTCAAGATTTTCTTTCTAATGTTCTTTCAAAAGCAACAAGAGATGAAAATACTGGAGAAAGGAACCGAATTGAGAAGACAGAACATTAGCTGACATTACTGATACTTGCTTTTCCTGGGGGCAAGACTATATTGAGAAGAAATACCATCAACCATAAAAATAAAATCTTTCCTGAACAGAATGAAAAGTTGTGTGTGTGGATTGAAAGGACTAACTGCATTCCAGGCCAAAAAAACAAAACAAAAAACAAAGTGAACGAGTCCACTACGCAAGCACCTCATGGCAATAATTTTAAACTACCAAGGATGGGGAATGAAAACGCTTGCACTCATCCAGTCAGAAAGTAACAAGTTGCCTATCAGAAAACAAAAGAGCATTTTGGCTTCAGACTTCTACTGTATAGCACCAAATGCCAGGAAATAATAGGGGACTTTGAAGGGAAAGTTGTGACTTTGGAATTTGATACACATTTTATATGTTAAGATACAGAAAATATTTTTAGTTATGATGAGCATTCAGGATATAAACCATCGATATAATACTATTCTTTAAAGGTAAATTATACTGAAACCTACAAAGCTTGGTTAATATATATATATTTTTTCTTACTATCATCATTTCAAGGGACTCTGGGGTATTACACATCAGATCATTACCGGCTAAAAGAAGGCTATGTATGCTGTTGAATAGATAATGTGGCTAGAAGCCACATGTCTAAAAGTGCCCAGGTCCTCACATGAATAGGCTAAACTAATACAAGGAAAGGTACCTAAAAATAACAATATATCAGCCTGGTGTTTCTTCATTTTTATTACTGAGATCATGTATGATCACTCTGGTATCAATAGCAAATTCAGACGCATCTTTTACAAATAGAATTTAAATTGCTCAGTTTTCCCCACTGCTATTTAAAACCCTCTATCCTGGGAGGGTCCCTTCCTTCTGAGTGAGAAAATGCAAGGCGTCCCCACGTTTGCTTTGGGGTCTGATAGCCTAGACTGGAGCTGACTGCGGCCACGGCCACCCCACGTGTTTCTCCACTCTTCTGAAGCTCAGCTAACAACAAGTGCAAAATTAGAAAATTGCAGACTATATATCTGTTTTCAAAAGAGCTCAGATTTCGGCAAAACCATACTTGTTTTAGAATACAAATGCAAGAAAAGCTTAGTTTCAACAGCAGGAAGCTGGCCTGGAGGAGTGAGGTGCTTTCCATAGCTGTACTTGAATGATCTTTTTGTTGTTTTTTGTTTTTAATTTTTTTTCCAATTTACAGTTGGTATTCAATATTATTTTATATTAGTTTCAGGTGTACAGCATAGTGGCTAGACATTTACATATTCACAAAGTGATCCCCTGCAATAATTCTACTGTACTTGAAGATTTATGGAACTGTGTTTAAATTCAGCAAAAACTAACAACGACATACCCAATTAATTACTTCCGGGGTCCACAATGTTAGTGTTAGAACTGAAGCTGGGTTGTTTTGTTTTGTTTTTCATGGGCTTGCACTGGAAGGGCTCGAAAACACAGAGAAATGTCTACTCTGTATTATTATTATTGGCCTTAATGCTCAGACCCTTCCTGTCAGAATAAAGGTTTTATCTGTGCCCCAAGTGGACTTGCCCATTTAAACCCTAAATTAAATTTTCAACACCACCAGCCTGTGTGCTCTACATCTAGCCATAGAGTAGTTAGCGGCGGCTTTGCATTTGCGTGGTTTGTCGCTCAGCAGTGCAGCAGACTCCTCCGGATGGAGAGAATCTCTTCTGGACAGAGTCCAAGTGGAACCTTCCCCAAGGTCTCCCCGCCTGGCTGC